GCTTTTAAACACAGAGGGAGGTGATCAGAGGAACAGGTGACAGGTGTGAGTGAGATCTGTAGGGAAGGCAGGTGCATTCAATAAACTAAATGGGGAAAGAACTAAGCAGGAGAACCTGGAGGAGAACAGGAGGAGGCTGGGGACAGAGGGACACAGAACATGACAATATATTTGTTAAATTAAATATATAGGTGAGTTACTACCCGCTACCCACTGAAGCTGCAACTAACCAACCATAGATAACTTCTTTGGATCTAAAAAAAAACATCTTAAATTAGTTGACTTACTTTTAAACTTGAAATTTGTCCCCTAAGTAGCTGCTGACTTCTGATCTGCCATCCTTTTAAAAATACTGTGGTGCATTCTGGGTAATTTTTGACCAAGGCTAGGCTATGAGACACCTTCCATGTATCCTTGCTCAGCTAGATAAATGGCTAAGAAACGGAGAACACACGCCTCGGTAGAACATGAACATTGGAACATGCCTTGGCAGCTCCTGATGACGTATCTCCTAGGCAGCCAGGGTGGGGCCAAGACATCAAGATGAGGTTCCTTGGCATTGAGAAACACTCTGTGACTCAACGTAATACATGTGACAGCCTCATCTAGTAGACAACTTTTGTTTCTGCGCATACCAGTAGTTATCGTCCATTTATCGTTATCGAGCTGAAATCCTCAATATATTGTGATATTGATTTTAGGCCATATCGCCCAACCCTACTTCACGATTACGTATCCTGGAGAAAGGCTATAATAATAAAATGTTCTACCGTAAATTCTCTAATATTGGCCTGTATTCAATTAACAGCCAGGTATCACATTTTGGCCGGAGTCGGTGGAGGTGAATAATGGCCGTTTTTTTATTGTGGCCGGGTGCAATGTGGTAACAAGCAAGTACGAGGGGCGGTTGTGTCATCCGTCTCACTTTTGATTTGCCAGTGATAGACCGCGAGGGTAACTTTAACCATGGCAGGTGCGGAGACAAAGAGGAGGCGAAAATTTGATATCAAGTTCAAAGAGAACGTGCTGATTATGCTGCAGAACACTCTGGGGAGCAGTAGGGGTTGTATGAACTAGTCACTAGCCGACTTTACTGCTCTATAGTGACTTTTTATGCCCGTCATCGACTAGTCGCTGTCACTTGATAATGACCGGCAAGATGCAGTCCTCGGAAAAGACAGCAGCCTGCTGTCAGCAGGTGACAAGCTCCTGCACGTCTGGAGGCAATGCGCTGTGCCAGAGCGTCGGTACTGATACCCGCCGTAAAACGGACATTTAACCAAATTGTGACGTTTACCCTCTTGCAATTTAACCTTCCCCTCACCCCCATCCTAACCTTAACCAGCTTGCGCATGCAAAGCTCTGATTGTTGACGCGCTCCAGAGATCTGCGTCCTGAGCACGGCCACAGTAACATTATCAAATTAGGTGTCGCCACCTCAAAAACTAATTGAACACGCGATCGTTCATGTCGGCTCATTTCCTTTTATGTTTTCTGTCTTTTATGCTTTTATTTGTGCTTGATGCTTTTCGCTGCTGTGGATCGGGGTGCATCACCTGTTTTGTCCTCCGTGACACGTTTTTTTTACTCACAACGATCGTCAAGAAAGCGTGTTTGTCGTGTTCATATCAAATTAAACTGAGCACAAAACACAGATTTACTTTCTTTATTTCGTTTTCCTCATCCAACCCCCATAAATCCCTGTGTGTCCTCCTGCAGCACTCCCGAAGGACAACAGGCAAAACAAGACAAAAAAGTCTGACGTGTTGTGTAAAAACTGCTATTTTTAGCATATTTTTAGGTCCGATGTGTTGCTACCAGACATACAGTGTGAGCAGTCAGGTCGCATCCGAGAACTGGGTCATACAGTGTGAGCGCATGGCTCGTGAGATCTGCCTGCGAGGAAGTCGTACAGTTTGAGCTGAAGCTGAGTGCTACGAGTGAAAAAGTCGCACAGTGTACGCCCGGCTTAACTGATGCGGCCAGCAAGCAGCGCGCACTCCACTGTTTTTGCGGTCGGTCGATCTTTTAGAACTGCAGTTCAAAGGTAACTCATAAGGTGGATATATATGAAGGCAGGTAGCAGTTTTTCTTTAGGATTGAGAGGAGATGCAGGAAGATAATAAACAGGCAGGACAGAAATATAGTCAAATAAAAACAAGTTAGTTTTTGTACCTGCTGGTTGCAACAAACAGACACCATTGAAGGTAATCATAAGTGAGGAACAGAAAATGAAATAATTATTTTAATGTTTAGAGCAGCAGGAACTCTGAGAGACTGCAGGCGCATCAGTTTGCGGCCCCTGCGCGTGGGGGGGGGGGGGGGGGGCAGAAACTACCGTTGTTAAAAGAAATGTGTTTAACGTTGAAAATGTGGGCGCCATTTTAATTGTCAAAAACTTCAGCGAACCATTAGTTCATTTTGCTCAAATATAAATTGAGGCCTGCCTCTATTTCTGGCCCTCCTTCCAATAAAGGCCTGGAGCTTGATGAGCTTGAGTAAAATACAGGCCCGGGCCTGTATTAGAGGATTTATGGTATTTTAAATTGTCTACATGGATGTTACTATATATCTTTACTCTAAAAACACAGGATAATGTCAGATGCATCCATTCATTGCAAGCTCCTAAAGAATAAGACCAGGGGATTGTAGAGGTGTCTGGTAGAAAGGAAAGAAACTATGTAGGTAAAAGCTCCAACATCACTTGTGGTACAGAATGATCATGCAGGATGACCCTGGTAAAGGCCATAAGCCAAAGCACGTAGATCCAAAAGGTTATGATCAGTTAAAGACAGAGTTTCTTCCCAAGAAGTAAAGGCAATCTTCTTTTGGCCCCATCCTTCCCATTATTCATCTGTTGGGAGAAAAACTCATCTACTGCCATTTGTGTGTTTGTTATATTAATATGTACATTGCTGTTCACCACTTTTACACCATCATGATAGAATGATGTTCCCCAATGGCAATGACCTCTTAAAAAACATAGTGCTCATTTCGTCACTTCTAAAAAAAACTATTTAAAGTTAATGATTGTGTCTTTACCTCTAAATTCTACAGGTCTCTGTCCATTTTATCATTTTCACTAACCGGTGTTTATTTCTATAGTACAGCTGGGTGATATTATCTCACATTGTCTTATTGTTAGTGTATCACAAAACTTTACAGTAGATTGCTATTTAAGGTCAAGGAGTCTTTATTGTCCCCGTGGGGCAATTTGTCTTGCAGCAAGCAGTAAAAAAGATCAAATCAACAATGAAACATGATTCATTTTTAAGAACATGAGAAAACAACCAAAATGGAGGAAAACTGCTCATTTAACAGGACAACTAGAGAATTTATTCACAGTGATTCCTTTACTGTTTTGCGAGTGACTGGAAAGTACAAGCAACCTATTTCCTGATGTTGGACACAGCCCTAAATGAAAAAAGAAATGGATATTTGACAGAGCATTTAGGTCACATTGCATTTCTTAATATACTGGACATAGTTTTGCAATAACACCATGGCTAGAATGTGTCTTGAAGACCAGGGCTTCCCAATTTCTTTTTTTGAGGACCCCCTTGCTCATGTCCAAGACAAGCGAGGATCCCTAGCCCCAACTCCTACATGCGTACACACGTTAAATGTGATCATTTACCGTCTTTATACAGACACACAGTTATAAATTATATATGGAGTTCTGATTATACTGTAGGGTGTGTTATTGGGAGTTTATAAATGTAATTTTTACAAATAAATTCTCGCTAACCTCACAATCTCAGCAAGGACAAAATTGTGGGGACCCCCTGTAATTTTGTGGGGACCCCCTTGGGGGTCCCGACCCCCAATTTGGGAACCCCTGTTGTAGACGATATGCTATGTTTAACTCAGCCTGAAGGTCAGTTAGCTTTACTTCTTGGCCAGGTTTGCTGGCGTGTGGGTACAGTTATGTTTTTCTCATTGACTAAACTTCCTTGCCAGTTACAGTGTTTGAGATGTGGAGAAGCCATGTCTTTGTACTGTATCTGTGTCTGGATTATTCAAGAAAAGAAAATATTTTTCTTTAGCTTTGTTGCTTATATTTGTTACCTGTGTGTGTGTGTGTGTGTGTGTGTGTGTGTGTGTGTGTGTGTGTGTGTGTGTGTGTGTGTGTGTGTGTGTGTGTGTGTGTGTGTGTGTGTGTGTGTGTGTGTGTGGTGGGGGGGGGGGTCAAGCATGTGTGGGTGTGTCTGAATAAGTGAGTGCAAAGAGGCATAGAGTAAAGCATATTACATTCACTTGATTGAATCAATGATCAAGAAATAATAGACATAAAATTTCCATAACAGGTTTCATCTGTTTAGTTGTCTCACCAGCGTCAACTTGGTAGTTATTTTTATTCACCAAATGAAGGTAACTTTGGTCTCAGTTGTGGTGATTAGTAATCCTCAGCAAGTTTCGGGGCTCCCACCAGACTGATTCTAACCCTGGCTAGCCCATGTCATCTTCCAGTTAGATCGTCTCTCAGTGGTCTTTACCTCTGCTGCTTCTCTCAGGCCCCACCTTAATAAACCCGCCAGCGTAAATGTCACTGGCTTCCACCTTCACGTCAAAGGTCACTGTCAATAAACCTGTGTGTGTGTGAGCGTGTGTGTCTCAGGAAGCCCTTACCGTGCGTCTATCAGATGCGAGTTTGCGTGGCTGTGCTCAGCCGTGCCCCTCACACATGTCTGTCACACAGGGAGGGCTAATGAAGGCCACAGCCACTCTCATACATGTTGATGCACTCACCAACAGCATCAGACACTGCAGCTTTTCACTTAATTTACACCCACATTTACACTTCCTGCTCAGAAATTGGATGGGACATTGATTTTCTTTTGGAAGGAGGGTGGGGGGAAATGCACATATTTTTGCTTGATGTCAACTAAATCAACCATAAAAGGTAAATTGGAATTATTTTTTTTGTCGAAGGGTGGTACATCCAGAACCAATGTTTCAGGTTCAACTTGTCTGTAACACACTTTATTCTTTCTCTTTAGCTTCAGTAGTGAGGAGTACCCAGATAGTCTCAACGGGGAGCCCTCTGGGACAGCACCTCACAGACAACACGCCTCTAGAAAGGTTGGACTTCCTCTTTTGTTTGTAACTTTTTCTGTTTTTAATTAAAGCTTCTCCAACAGGACATTGCCATTGGGTTTGGTGTGTTTCCCTGCCAATCATGTCTGCAAGAGGAACATTTGTGCAAGGTTTTATTATTAATAGTCAGCCAATAAATAATTTAAAATTGCCTACAGGTTTTGTTGTTTTATGCTTTGTTTTAACATGACTCATATTCCCCAGGTATGAGATCATATAAACTGTTGTTGAATCCTGAGAATTTGACTTTGAAAATATTATTTAGTCAGTGAAAGTGTAATAACCCTGTCTGGTCTTAAACATTAAATAAAACTATATAATTAGTTACAGTATGACTTAAAGAAGCTGCAGTAATTTGACAAAGAAAAATAACTTTAAACACTAAAGTCAATTAAAACCTGTTAAGTTATTGTAATATGATTTTGTGGGGATTTATGTGTACAGTCTTAAAGACCAAGTTAAATGAAAATCAATTTTACTTGTTATTTTTGAAATATGATATCTCTGAGTTTGACATGCGGGCCAAATGTGAAAATCGTCTTCTACCCCTATTTCCTGCATTAGCTCCCGATAGAAAATAGATGAGGAAATGATCAGATTAGAAAAGCCAGACAGATCTACGTCACACTGTCACTTAACATTCATGGACTCACCCATCTTGACCCGTGACGGAGACGGCTGTTGGTTTAACGTCCAGGAAACAGCAGAGAACGTCTCAGCTAGTGGAAGCTAACCGTTAGCATTAGCAATTCCACAACATGATAGAACTCCTTCAGGCTTGTGTTATTTGTGGAGATAAAATTGCAAGCAAACAGAGTCAGTAGTAGAGTCGCGTGGTAGAGTCTGCTGCCAATCAAAGGAGAGATGTCCAAAAATATCAGGTAATCAGACTCCAAATCCTGCCATCTTCTGCTCACCTCTCATGCTTACTTCTGGTTCCTGAAACAGGAGCCCCAGAGCTGTTTTCCTCACTGAGATCAACTCACAAGACATACGTTTATACTAGATACCACTATGAATATATTAGAAAAAGCAAGTGAACTTGGTAGCTTAGCTCATCTTGACTCTTCTCTAGACCAGTTGCTCCTAAACTTATTTGCTTGAGGACCGCTTGCCTGTATCAAAGACAAGCCTCGATCCCCCAATCCCAACTCCTACCTGCATACACACACATTAAAAGTGATTAATTACAAGCTTTATACAAACATACATTGTTTTGATTATACTATTGGGTATGTTGTTGAGATTTTAATAAGTAATATTTACAAATATATTCTTTGTTACTTCATAACCTCACAGCAGACTAACTTGTGGGGACCTTGGAAGGTCACGGACCCCAGGTTGGCTTTACACGGCAGTGGTGGGTGAACTCGTTAGGGAGCTGGGGACACCTGCGAGTGCAAGGTGATCTGTATGTTGCATTAAAACCTATTATAACAGTGATATTGAATAATCTGCTCAGTCACTGGCTTTTTGTCAAAATCTGAACATTGTTGCAGGCAGCTGTCAGAAACCTCTGGAGCAGGGATGCCCAATCCTGGTCCTCGAGATCCCCTATCCAGCATGTCTTAGACGTTTCCCTGTTTCAACACACCTCATTTGAATCAGTGGTGATTAGCAGTGTAGCTGTTGAACAGGTGATTTAGCCACTGAATCAGCAGGGTGAGAAAATAAAAAAGCTGGATAGGGGATCTTGAGGACCAGGATTGGGCACCCCTGCTCTGGAGCAAACACTGTCGCCCCCTAGCCAAGCATTGACTGACATTCTGTGAAATTGCATTTTCAGCATAGTTCTCTACACTCAAAAAAACATCGAAACAAGTTTTGAAAAGTTGCCAGCCAACCCAGACCCGTCAGTAATGGAAATATCTAATGCCACCTACACACTAGCATTGGCTCCATTCCGCTCTGCCCTCCCCAGCCTGGCCACATTCATTCCACACTGCCTTAGGAATGCGCACGTGATTGAGCACAGGGGTGGTTTGTGGTCTATGATGTCAGGAGCGCATCTCAGAGCACTTTGGCTGGGAAAAAGAGCACTGAGAAGTCAGCAACTCCACCGTTTCTCCGTTATTAAATGGTGCGTGTGATTTAGAGCTGGCTAATCAGTCAGCAGTGGGCGTGTTGGACCAGTTTGGCCCCAGGCAGACCTCCTCGGGAAGAGGGCTAAAAAGACATCCGGTTGCATGGGGGAAAATCCAAGGCTACCTAAATGAGAACACTCCCAACCCAGTCCAGGTGGAGTGGAGCCAATGCTAGTGTGTACGTGCCATAACCTTGTCTAGTCGTGCTGAGTAGAGCCTATGGAAGCAAACCCCTGTAACAGACTGAGGAGCAGAGTTTAGCCACCCAAAGCATAAATCGTTTATTTAACATCACAGAACGAGTCTCCAGAGTTTTATGTGCTAATTGGATTATTTAAAGTGTCTGGTCCTTTTCTCTTGAAACGTACTTGATGTTTCACTCATCAATCTATAAGATAGAGTGTGAAACATTTATGTTTTGGGCTGTCAAATGCCGTAAGATTTTAATAGAGTAGTTGTCTCCCATTGACATGCATTTAGTTTGTTGTCTAGCTCATTCTAAACTGGACTAATAGGCAGGTCGTTCTCTTCTACTGCTGTTCTCAATGAGGTCCGTATGTGGGGCTTAGATCAGACCATTTCATAGCATCTTCAACCCCCAAAGAAATATTCCATGAAGAAAACTGATAAGTCTGAATAAAGAACATGACCAATATGCTTTCCTGTCTTTATTTGCAAAGAGGAGAGAGAGAGGTAGAAACTAGATAGGAATAAGGAGTTGTTGCATGTGTAAACTGGGAGCTGTTGGAACCTGTTCCCTCAGATCCCCCTGCTCAGTATGCCCAGCAGCTCCTCCCAGGCTCATCGCTGTGACGGCCCAAGTCCCTCACAACGTGTCACAAACCAAAGGTCTTATCTTCCCTCGGCCTCCGTGATCAAACCCAGCTCTGATCAGATCTTACCTGACCGCCAAACAAAGAGCTCAGAGGAAGGAGGGTTGTGGTGTCAGTGGGGGTGCCCTTCTTTGATGTTATTACAAACAGCGCTGCGTTTGGGAGTTGTCATATACACACTTGCGCGTGCAAATGACTAACACACTCGCAGTCATCACACCGTGGGAGTGAATCCGGGTTCTCAGACAGTGATTGAACAAAGGCGTCATTTGCAAGCATCTGTCAGGAATAATATCCAGACTGAGAGTCAGCCACGTTGGAGCTGGTTGAACACGCTCAGGTGAATTATTTAAGCACAAAGTGATTTGTCTTGTTGGATTAAGCTGAGCACAGCCAGTGATCATAGTGTCGCTGCCAACTCTGTCTCTCAAAGCACAACATGTCAACTGCTGCGTTATATTAAACAGCTTTTATTTTTCATAATTTACTCCCTGTCTTTGTGTTCTTCTAGTCCTACAGGTGTTCACTGCACGCAAACACAGAAGAACCAGCAGCAGGATCAAAGAAAAGCCAACCCAGTACTCTGACCCAAGGTAGTACAAGTTTTCCTTCTTTTTTGAACTCATGCTAGACTACAAAAATCAAGTCAGCTGTTAATTGAAGCAGATAGAACAGAGTATTTACATGCTGTTGATCAGAAACAAGTATCTGAGAAGGTTAGTGTTTCCTTCTCAGCTCCTGAATTGGTTATTAATGAGAAATGTTAATCCTTCTGGTTAAATTTATCACAGTTTTCACATACGCCTCTTAACTCCCAGCTGGAGCTCCTATGTGGGGATTTTGAGGCTTTTTCTGCACGTGTCAACTCAGAGGCAGCTGCATGTTCTTCCTCCTGTTAGATTATAAACAGCATGAGCTCTGGGAGAGAGGTACAAGAGGGGAGAGGAGGAGGCGGAGGAGGAAGTGGATGTTGACGAAGACCCAGCGCTGCTCCTCCTCTCTGCAGCAGCGTGTTGAGTCTCTACAGCGTCGCGTTGACATCCAGCGAAGTGCCAGGAAAGACACCCAGCTCTCAGCTAAGGAGCTGCAAAGGGCCAACGAGGCGCTCACAGCACAGCTCAGCGCACTCGCTCAGCAGCTCAGCAGCAGCAAGCAGCTCACACAGGTAACTGGCAGGAAAATGAAACCGACTTAAGAGAAAAATCCTGTTCTAAAAAGTACATTTCCTCTTTTTTTCCAACTTTTTGTGGTTTTCTTAATGCCGTGAGTGCAGCAGCTTCCCCTGATCATGTTAAATGAGCATGCTGACAGGCCTGCCCTTATCTGTGCGGGTAAGAACCACAGACCAGAGGCGAAGAAAACAAATGTCTTACTCGTCTCTCTATGACTCTGTCTTTGTTTCCTCCTGCGGTTAGTTTCTGCAAGCCAGTTGTCCACAACAATACATGTCACCACCAGTTGCATTCCTCCAGTGTCTGCACTTGCTCTCACAGACATGTACAAGGTGACTGTTTCCTTACCGAGTCCCATGCCACACACCTATTTAGTTATTTAGTGTCTACACTCGGCCTACCCTAAGACTTCTACAGTATAAATAAAATATAAGAAAGATTTGTCATAAAATCACTTTTTTTTCTTGTCAGTGCCTCCCTGTAAACATAAGCATATGTGAACCCACACACACACACACACACGCGCCAGCATTTTGACAAATAATCATTAATTTTTATACGTAGGAGACTTCTTTTGGTGATTTCAGCAGCAGCTGAACGTATAATTAGGTGTATGTTTTGTCTTTATATTCACTATTGAAAATGCTACAGAAACGGTGTTCTGCGTAAATTCGTTCACACGAGTCAAGAGTGCATCATTCAAAATGCCACCCAGGAAGTGGCCTGTCTGCCCCCGTCAGGTGTCTGATTGCTGAAACCCAACAAGACCTTAGACTTGGATGCAGCGCAAAGGCACCTGCAAATGCACACCTGGACACACACACACACACACACACACACACACACACACATACTCGCACTGTTGAGTGAATGAGTGGACAGAGAGGGAATTGCTGTCTTCCTGTTTGTTTCCTCTTCCCTCCTGCAGTATTAATGCCACTCCACCAGAGAAAGTTGGAGCCGACTGACTGGTCAAAGCTAGGTCTCGTTGCCCTCTCTGGAAAGGGCAAGAGGTGATAGACTTTGGACTGGTTCCAGCCGGTCCTTGCCGCCTCTCTAACTAAAACTCTTCCTGTAATTGGCTTAGGACTGCCTCCGCAGGGGCCATCATGTGATAGGTAGCATGGCAGTTTCCCAGAGACTTGTTTGTGTATCGCTGTCTCCTGATCCTTCAGCCATTCTGTCCTTTCCCTTTTGCTTCCTTCCTCACCTCTCCTTCATTAACTCTGTCGTATGCCTTTCCTTTTTGGATTTAAGTATGTGAATAACTGTAATAAACACTTATTTTAGTTAATCTGCTCTCCTCAGTTCTGTGGTCAGCAGTAAACAAAACATTTGACTCAGAAAATGTACACCATTACACAACTGTGTACAATTATATTTGCTTTTTTGATATCTATTATGTTCAGTTTGAACAATGTTCCATATTATTACAGAATTCGCATTTTTTCCTTTCATTTCTTCTCCAAAGGTGTCACTAAAACAGCTTTGTTCTGTGAATATGTTGGTATGAGTTTGTTACTGCATGAAGTCCAGTTTTATGTATGTAATCAACCTTTGCATTTAGTTTTTTTTATCTATACTCAGATTAATTCCGTTTTAGGAAAGAAATACTTAGTTTTGGATATGGATGCCACAGGTAAACATAGACAGTTAGACACATGCAGCGTTTGGTTATCTAAAAATGTGTTCATAAACTTGATTCTGAGTTTTACTTGGAGTCTTAAACAATTTTGCTGAAATTAGTAAAGATAACTAAAAATGTTGCTCCTCGGTCTCAGATATCAGATCAGGCTGCAGATGAGACACAGTGTTAATCAGGAATTTGTTTTATTGATGTTAAACTCAGTAATTAAATCTGTTTGAGTCATTGAGTCAACCAACAAACCACCAAAGTTCCCGAGCGCAGGCACAGCTGCTGCTCACCGCTCCTCACAGGGATGGGTCAAATGCGGAGATGTAATTTCACCAGTGTGTGATAACTAATGGGACTTTAACTTTATTTAATATGGTGGATCTAATTCTTGTTTTTTTCCTACAGCCCAGAACTACAAACTAAACTCTAAAAGAGCTTTAAAGCAGTGGTGGATCTAGGAGTTTTCTGAGTGCAGGTCCATCAATGGGCCACAACATTTATAGTGGGGCCAAGTAGTATATGTTAACATCCATGCACAAGATTCACAGGAAACACCTGTTTGGCTCATTAACGCCACTAGTGTTTGGACATGGATTTGCATCAACCTATAATTTGATCTTTGTGCTAAGGACAGATGAGTGACAGGACAGTGGCACTTCAGGGGGGCAATTAGATTTCAGCTGGGGCCAATGCCCCTGCGGCCCCACCCCTAGAACCACTAATGCTTTAAAGTTAGCATTACTGTCTTAGCTTCTCTTAGCCATCCTTGTGATAGTGTTGGATGTATCAATCAATCAATCAATCATGATGTAATCACTCAGAATCACAGGGAGCTGTTTCTTCTCTGTCCGTGTGTGTTTATGATTTCCTTGATCGACAGCTCAGGTGTCCTAAATTCTGATAAAGATGACTGATGTCAATATTTACATTAAAACTGAGAAATGACTTTCTCTGTGAGCATTTGTCCCTACCGCAGTCCCGAGTGCAATTGTCTCATCTTTTTAAATATTTCATATAACTGTGAGAAGTATTTCCTTGGTCTGCTGTGAATCAGAGACAATGTGCTTCTACACAGCTTTAGAGTGAGCCTGGTGAACATGTATGAATGCAGGTGTCTAGGCCGTCTGAGCAATTAGCCATTTACAACAACGAGGTAGATGCTTTATATTAGAAGACATTTCTGTAATTTTTAATTAGTTTCTTTATTTACAAGCATTTGTTGTGTTTCTGTATGCTTGTATTTCCTTATATATCCTGATGAATTACTGACATTTCAGTCCAGAAAACAAACAAAAGACAGAGACAGGTGTCCTTTTTCCGTTCCTAATGGGACTACCAGTATATCAGTCCATGTCAGTGTCATCTCTCACCAGAGCTGAAAATGGCTGTGAAATCAAAGCTTGTCTTACAGGAAGTGGCATCAATGCCTCTCTTAATTCACACACTGCTGCCACTGAGGCCATAGCCCCACTTTCATTCCCTACTCCTCCTTCCATCTCCCCCACCCTCCCAGGGGACGCGGCGTGTGTGTCTTCAGCAGAGCAGAGGAAACCTAAAACAAGAGGGATTCTATTAAAAGGTGTCAGCCAGCAACCAGATATCAATAACCTCCATGTATGCAGAGCACAGAGCAAACCCCTGGGAATCTGTGGTTTCACTTGGATGTGTGTGTTCTGACTCGGTGTGTTCTCCTGCATTAGTTTTTATGTGCAGAAATATTTCCATGTATTATGTCTCCTGTTTGTGCCATTAAGCATTTCTGATGTTTGACATGAAACTATATCAGGTAATTGTTGTAATATTGAGCCAAAGTTGCACTGATGTGACTCTAATCCACTGCATTGTTTTCTGTTACGTAGGAGATAAGCTTTTTCTAATTACCCACCACACTCGTGATTAAAGTTGTCTATCTTGATTTCTTTTAGCTTTATTTTTAAAACTCAAGCAATAGAAAGTGTTACAATGGAAAAAATTAGAAAGCAAACTTTTCAAAGACAAAATAAATCAAATTTATTTCACCCTTATACAACATATGTAATGACAAAAAATGAAATTATGTACAAGTGAACTACCTCAATGTTTATATTGTCTGAATAAAGTTAATAATACATTTTAGTTGACATGGCTCATTTATATTAGTGTACAATGATTTTCTGCAATATCACACTTGCACACAACCCTTAATTTTTTCTTGTTTCATGTAATTTCCTTGTATTTCTTTTTTACATTTTTATTGTATTTTTCACTCCCTCAAACGAGTGTAGGCCCTACTGATGTTCAGCCTGGTTTAGCCTTAGCTTCATTTCCAAAGAGATGACTCTCTTACTTTTAGTGCCAGTCTCTGCCGTGATGTCAACAAAAAAGGAAAATTCTTCTTGTGCTTTGTATTGATGGTCGGCAAATTGAAAAAGCTAACTGCTAGCCTTTATATGAGCCACCGACACAGTAAACCGCTAACGGCGGTAAAATAAGTAGAGACCTCCCACTACTGTTCCTACCCGAACCACCAAACTCTTAAGTGCAGTTTCTGGTCAGCAGAGGGCTACACGATGCTGGGGGTAAAGTTTCTACCTCAAGAACCACTGAAACCAGTCTGACAGCAATAGCTTAAAGTGTTTAAAACTCTTTAGTCTTGCTGTAAGTCTTTGTAAATGAATGGCAACAGCTCACTTCATGTTTGCAGCTAATTTACACCCTGATTTACGAACAGATGTATCAATTTAGAAATCTTTTAAATTCTCTCAGTTTGATATCTTCCTTACATCATTCTTTTTTTTTAACTCTTCAATTTTTTGCACATTTTACACTTTATATTTTTATTTATTTCCTTTTAAAAGTAAACTAAGTCACTTAATTGAACATTTTTTGAAATGCATTCCTTTTTTCCCCCCTCATGCTTACTTGTACAGTTGGGATGAAAACGTTTGCTCATTCCGATACATTATTGTTTGTGTACAGTTCTGTTTTTACACAAACATGTGAGTCCTGACATACATGGTAAAGCGCGTCATCATAACTGACATCAAGTACCTTTTCTCTCACTTAAGATGAGAATCATTAATGTTGTCTGTGCTTCTATTAAATCTGCTCTCACATAACAATAATATATATCTCCAAACTTTGTTAGGAGTCGTGGAAACTTTAGCTTGTTGTTATCATCACCAGTGGCCCAACTGACCAACCCTGTCTGTGGGTAATTCTGCAGAAGCTGACCTCTGACCTGGCTGGTGTCGAGCAACAGAAAAAGGTTTTGGAGATGGAGCTTGAACAGTGGAAGAAGATTACCTTCCCTCCGCAAAGTGCCCCAACAAGTGTGCTGGTAAACACTGAATGTTCCTGCCAGGGCAGAACCGAGTCTGCCCCAGCTAACCCTGCCCCCCAGGCCCTGGAGACTGAGGTCAGACAACTTCAAGCCAAACTTAAGGTCAGTGGTTATAGAGTTAATCAACTGGTCTAATACTCCGCCTTTTTGTGCATGACTTTTGACACAAATCTCTTAATAGGATAAAAGTATTAAATAATGTGCTCATTCCCAATTTTGTGCACTGTGAAGCCTGAGTGGATTACACCTTGGAAAACAGGAATTCTGAAAACATTGCACCTATACCAGGAAAAAATTAGTCTGCGTACATAGTGCAAATGAAAAACACATTTTATTTATTAGTTTAAATTTGTTTTTTGTAGTAAATATTTATTACATTTTTCCCAGCTGTATACACCACCGTACAGAAATGCAGAAATTAATGTAATGAAACAAAAACCATTTAAAAAATATGATGAATTATCCATTACTAAAGCAGTCGAGCATTTAATAGAATATTTTATTGCTTTTGAAATCTGGAAAAAAAAGAAACTATCAAGGTTTTCCAAAAATCACTAAAGGCTAATTAACTAAAACTTCATTCTTGAGCGTTTCAGTTTTCACCTGAAACGGCATCTGAGATCATCATGAATTATCGGCTCCTATCAGTTGATCTTATTTTGGAGTGCCTGATGAAAAAAAAAAGAAAAATGGAGAGTAACAGTGGTGATGTGGCGTACATCACGGGGAATGGGGAGCGAGTGGCACCGCTGCGTTATCACCCTCTCAGCAGCTAGCTCATCAGTGTCACCGAGCAGATTGCTGCTGCCATTACACCCGTCTGAGGAAGTCATGGCGGGTGACACCTTAAGAGAGAGGCTCTGTGTGTGTGTGTGTGTGTGTGGGGGGGGGGGGGGGGGGGGCACATTGTCAGAAGCTCGTGTTCATGTGTTTTCCACGAGAGACAGAGGCTCTCTAAACCAAGGCGCAAATGCCACTGTGAGCTGTTCGTGTTTTATAAAGTAAGTTAAAAAATTGTTATATTTTGTACGATTCTCGCCTATATGTCTAGGTTGGTGTAATAAAAATAAATTGCAAGCATAAAGAATCTTCGTCCATAAAATACAGATTTTTAATTAGATTCAATAATTGTAGTGAAATCAGAACTTCTTTTGTTTGTTCATTCTTTACTAAACCTTTTATTCCCTTTCTTTGAATTAAAATTCATTAACATATTTATTACTAAAGGTCTTTAAATTGTTGGTTTTTTGTTTCCAATTACTCCTGTTACCTTTTCCGCTTTGAAGGAAATTGTTTTCCTCTTAACCTCTCTTAGCACCTTCCACCCCTCCGCTCTAACTATAATGAGGAGGCATGCTGTGCTTGACCTGCCATCAGCTGTGTTGTGAAAACCTTCCCAACCCCCCATTGCACACTCACACACATTAATAGACACACACACCGTGTGCCCTCTCCCCAGAGTGCGAGCGCCGAAGTCACAAAGCAGATGGCCGCTAACAAATCCCTGCGAGGCCAGCTCCAAGAGAGGGAGGACAAGCTCTGCCAGCTGCAGGACAAGTTAGTCCCACACCTTTGTCTTAATTAGCCCTACTTGTCCTCGTGTAATCCATTTTTTTTTATTTGTTGCTCTGTGATACATCTCTTTTTGTTTTTGTCTTTCCATCTGCCTGTCTGTCTGAGTGTTCTCGCGGCAGCTCTCATCCGTTGTGTTTGATTCCACCGTGTGGCAGCCCTCTCTCTGCTGCATAAATCCCCACTCTAGGAATCACTTGTGAAATTATGCATGGACTCATAAGCAAGAGAATAAAACAACTAAGTGAATATATAAGCGATATGTGTAGATATGTGGGTGGGTTTTTTTCATCATGTAGTTCAGTGATGTGTATATTTGTTGCTAATGAGCAGCACTGATCAAAGCCACATATTGATTGTTTCTGTGCTGCAGGAGGGACCGTTTTGGCCCATGACACTAAAACCCACACAGCAGCACTCTGGCCTGTGGGCCACAAGCCCAGTGAGTTATATGATTCACTCATTGCAGCTTTTGCTGGATAACATATTCCCATTGCATAGCTGTGCACAATTCACTAAGGAAAACTGTTGAGATTTGAACCGCAGCTGGTATTTGAACCTAAAGAAAGGTACAAAGAACAACTTGGCTTTCTTCTCGTTGTTTTCTGCCTGCTGCACTCCGTCCTCTGCCTGACATTCTCAATAATACATCCAGGGCATGTGTACCACCACAGCGGATATGTATTTGTGTGTGACCAAAGCATCGAGGATCACAGGCCAACAGAGCGGGCATCCCTAAGCTCTGTTTGCGTGACATCCGCTGCCTCTCCTCCGTCTCTTGTCACACACTCGCTTGTGCACACACGCACACACACACACACATCCATGTAACTCGGTGTCTCTTCTGGCCCACCATTCCATTGGCCCCCATGGAGGGACCCCTTCTCAGAATGAAAGACATGTCTAGACGTCTCTGAAATATACATTTCAGCTCGCACACGGGGAGCAAGGCTGCTTCGCCTTAAAGAAGAGAAGGGGAAGGAAAAAAAGAACGAAATGAATTTCAAAGTACACCGGCATGTCCTCAGTCAATATCCGGCACTATGGCCCTGCCTTATTTATGAAGCTGCTTCTTTCATCTTTAGCCCTGTTGTCTATCAGCCACATGAAACATCCAGCCGCACTTCATTCTTAACAACATACACAGAAAAGTGCGCTCTCGCTCCTTTTTTTTTTCTTACTTTCACACTTCAGACTACTGACTGTTGTTATTACAATACACGCATGTTTGATGAACAATATCGCCAACAAGTGCAGAACAAAGGGAACAAACGTGCGTGTGATCGGGCTGTAGTTTGAGGCTCTCGCCTTCTCTTTCCGCTTACACTCATAAATAGAGATCACACACTCCAGCAGAAATTCTGTGTATCCCTCATTCTTTTTTATCCTTGATTCTTTTCTTTTTTTTTTTTTTTGAAGAAAAAGAACATCTAAAATAAATGTTGTCTACCTAATTGCCATTAGCATTGAGGTTGAGGGAGCTGCTGGGGCTCTTATTGCTGCTCTTCGTCTTTAAGTCAACACCAGACAGTCATCTGAAAGGTTCAATATGGGTTTTCTCATTAATGGCCAAATCCATGGGGTAACCAGCGAGCAGCACTCCCCACCCCCAAAGTCTCTAGGCTAGACTCCTCTCTCATTTATTTAATGTCACTCCAATAGGACAAGCTCACACTTATTTAGCCAGCCCACCCTGCGGCGTTCATCCACCTAGAGAGACGGGGACATTTGCTCACATAAAAAGCGTTTGCTGTAGTGTTGCGTCATCTGTTTATTTAAAGCACACACAACCCCATGTGTGAATGTGTGTGTGTGTGTAAGAGAGCAAATAGAGCCACTAAATCTTTGAATTTAAAAAAAAAGAAGCTAATCCACTTAATTAACAGCATCCTTATGATCTTTATTCTATTTGTTCCAGTTCCCGAAGGTATAGACAACCATGAGAAATGCCTTATATCTGCCTTTTATGAAAACAGAATAAAACATGCTTACATACTAACACCACTTAAAAGAAGTCCTCGACGCAGAACTCGGGAATATTAAGCATGTAAATAGAGAAGATTATTGAAATAGGAAGTGACACATGCTGCGTCTTTTCAGCAGTTTCCAAGAATGAGACATTGTTTCTCTCTTAAGGGAACACCGCTCAAACAAACTGCGTTTTTCCTGTGAATTTCCTCTATAAATAGGCCTTTCTGGGGAAGACATCCCTGCTGATGGCGTTTCTGTGACTCCGAATGCCGAGCAGAGCATAATAAACATTTAAATGCTCCGTTACAGTCTCTCAAGTTGTGTCACTGCTGATTCAAAAGGCCGTTTGTCAAAAGGACTCCCCAGTCACATTTAACATGGCATTCCCTGCCAGAGCATTTGTCCTAATATATGCCAGTTAGAATTATGAATGCATCCCTATTTTACACCCCTCCACTCACCCAAGCAGCATGCCAGTGTATTTAGTTGTCATAATGAGCTGTCATGCCTGATGCACCGCACAGGGACACGGTGCCTGCCAGCTTTGCTCATCTCTGTGTGTGTAAAAGTGTGTGTTTCAGGCTCTGTGTTAGGTCTGTTACGTAGACAGATGCTGTAATTGAGGCAGTAGCGACACAAAAATATCTAATTCTTTGTCGATCCACTCGGGCTTGCCTCGTAAGAAGTTATTTTTTCCATCTTGCTTTTAGGGTGAGCCACGCAGAACGAGATATCAGCAGGAAACGGCAGCTGGTGGAGGACTTCAAGACAAGGGTGAAGTTCCTGCAGGAGATGGAGAAAAGCTATCGGGATCAGATTGAGGAGTTGGAGAAGAAGGTACATTTACCTTCTCAGTGGCGTAGTGGTAGAGTGCCCGCCCTGGGACTGGGAGATCGGGGTTCAAATCCTGTCGGGTCACACCAATGATCTAAAAAAATGGGACCCAATGCCTTCCTGCTTGACATTCGGCTTGAAAGGGTTGGATTGGGGGTTAAACCAACACTTAGTTCCCGAGCGCAGCCACAGCTGCAGCTCATTGCTTCCCACAGGGGTGGGTCAAATGTGTAGATGTCATTTCATCAGTGTGATGATTAATGGGACTTTAACTTTTACATCATAGTCCTATACTGGTTCAATTTGGTGCAATACAAAAATAAATGTTATTATAAAAAAATGTTTGTCAACATATTGATTATTTCTTTAGAAAAACTAGAAAGATAACAGTAATGGTTGTTTCTCTTCTAAATATTAACTAAAGAGATGAGAATTAGGCCTTGAATTAATATTTTTAAAAATCGTCTGATTAGAGTTGTTTTAATGGTCAAAATTAACTCCTACTTTTTTAAAGCTAGGGTAACCGTTTGTTTTTGGTCCCTAACTATAACAGTTTAATCAAAAGGTAAAATAATAAAACAAAGTCTGTAACTGAAATTTAGGTCTGGGACCCAATGCAGATCGGTACATATTCTTATAGTTTACTTATGGGTTACTTTGAATTAGGTCTAAGCATCAAGTTACCCGTAGTTTTGCCCTAATAATAGTCATTCATGTCTAAACTTATGAATGATCCCCTAAAGAAAGAAAAAGGTCTCATAATTTTCCCTGATATGTGCAGCACTGTTTTGTTTTAAAGTCATCTTAACATTCTGGTCACTTTGCCATTGGGCGTGTTTCCAATGTCGGAACTTCAGGGTAATCTGACAGTGGGAAATTTGACCAGGAGATTAGATTGCCAGGTCCTCTCAGCTGTTGTGTCTCCATACAGATTCAGCCCTTTCAGGACTTTACACAGACATCAGCAAATCCCGACTGCTTTGGCCGAAAGTGATCACTGATCAGTGCCAAAAAAAGCATCCCCAGCAACATTAAGAACAGTAAAAGTTTGATTCTGTTGAAGTATGGCTATTTAATCCAGGAGGATTAAATTGAAGGATGGAGAGCTACTGTGTGATGTAAAAATTGGTGTTCAATGACCAGAAGAAGTGCCGCTTATTACGGTGCTCTTTAAGACAACAAATTTCCGTGAATTATGTCTTTGTGGGAGAAATTCCGCTGCGTCTTTTGGTGTCGGCAGTTTAATAACTGTCATTTTAAAGCAGCGTAATCTGTGTTTTTTTGCTTGTGCTTCCTTTCTGCTTCACAAGCAGCTCGTCTAATTTTATTAATGCCGGTTATTTTGGATGGCGTCTGCTGATGTCATTTCCTACTGAGTTACAATCAATCAGGGCAAGTTAGCCAAAGGTTTGCTCAGCTACTCCTGTTGAGGTTCTCCGACAGTTCCCGAAAATGGCCCGGAAAACGGCCTGTTCGACCGGCCCGGTGAAGTGCAGATTCGCACATGCCGTAAAATGACCCTGACGTTCCGACGGTGGAGTCAAGCCTATTGTTTACTGGTGCTACTGGGAATAAAGCAGTCATAAGTGGGAGTCTTGTCACAGGAAACTGTGACTAAAGGGAAAAGTGTCACGTGTAATAAGACTCTTCTGCCTTCAGATGTGCTTGTATTTTAATCATGGTCAGGTGTGGTAATACCAACTGTTCAGAAAAATAACAAGAAAAAAAATTATTCATTAATTTAACATCCATTACTAAAGCACTAATTAAATGCACAGCCAATCAGCAGGTTTTTCATTCATGTGTTAGGTGAATTAATAATCTGTTTGTATGATGTTTCAGGTGAAAACTTTATCCGAAGAGGCCACCAACAGAAAGGCCCTTGTTGAGTCTCTGAAGAGACGGTTAAACATTGCAGCAACAGAGAAAAGCCAGTCTGAAGCCTTGTGTTCAAAACTCAAAGAAGACCTGGAGAGAAAGGTTAGGAAACACCCGTATCGTTTTTTCTCAGCAGAAAAGTATTGTAGACGGTTGTGTTGCAGCAGAGAACAGTGTATGGAAAATTGCATTTTCTTTCCAACAAGTTGTTTTGGGCAAAGCCACCTTCAGACAACAAGAACGTTCTGTTTGTTTCTGTCTGATGTCATATTTGATTACAGCTGCTGGAAATCTTCACTTATATGCATTTACCTGTTTGAACTGTATAGAATGTTTACCCACTCTAAACATATTTAGTGCAGTATAGTGCAAAACAGGTTGCAGAGACAGAAAGGAGGCAGCATTGAATAAGCATTTTTTGTTTATTATTAATAAATTAATAAGTCTATGTGTTATTTGCCTTTTTCTTTAAACAGGTTGTTTTTAGCTGACCCGTTCTGCCCCATTGTTTTCCTTCATAGGAGCAGCGTAATCATTCCCTACAGGCTCGTGTGGGAGCCAGTGAGCAGGCTTTGGCTGCCCTGGAACAAACTGCCACTAAGCAAATGGAAGGGTTGACCCAGCAGAGCTCCCTTGCTTTGGACAGACTTCAGAGACAGCTTGGTCTTGCCTACTCCCAGCTGGAGCAGCTTCACTCTTTCATCAAGGTACAATAGCAGAGCTTGTAGGCCCAGAGCTTGCTCATAGTCCCATCTTGAGACTTATCTTAAAGGTACAGTAAAGAAGAATTTTATAGTGAAATTATCTCAAAACAGTCTAATGTCTGTCATGTTAGAAGAGATGTTACCATGGAACAGATTTCCTTCTCAGCCAGCTGAAGGGTTGTCAGTTTTTTTCCTGTCAAGATGGCCAAAGAGGGTCTTTGTTTACAATCCGTGAGCCACAAGCCAAGGCTTCCCGAGTCTGTGTTGAGCTAAGACTGCTGCGTCAGTATTTTTAATTTGACAAGAAGCTCCAGATTTATGAACAGTATGTTAGCCAGAGCAGGGAGCGACCCAGGGGTTGTTTTTTTGTATCCATAAGAAGCCATGGCATCTTTTTGCATTACTCTAATATTGTGCAAAGCAGGGTAGAGGCTAATGTTTAGCTAACAATGCCAGCAGTGAATTTGTAACAAGTAGTCAGCTCTAAAAATATCTCAAGCTACATTTTCAGTTACCAACAACTTGATATCACAGTGAAATATGTGTGAAGTGACTAAAGAGTCATTTGTGGCCTTTTACTTCCTTTAACGACTTTTTCAGAACTATAAATACAAGCTAACAGCTAGATGGAAAACGTTAGGTTATGCATACAACCACTATTACCTGAAGGGGAGGATCAAGGTACAACAAAAGTACTATGGGACATCACGCCCTTGTGTGGCCTGGCTGGAGACGCATCTAATCACGCCTGTAAAGGCAAATAAGCGTGATGCTGGGTGGTGGCCCTGCCCTCCACTTACAAGCCCCCTGCTTCACTGCCATTTCTGAGTTTGATAGCCGCTCTTCACCGAGCTAGGCTGCGAAGGGGTGCACCCTCTCTAGTACGGCTGGAATCAGCTCCACTGGAGGAAAGGCATGGAGGATCCGTCTGATCCATCAAGGAGAAGAACAGAGGACAGTGTGTGTGTTTGCTCGGGAGGCAAACAGATCCACCACCGCTCTGCCGAACCTTGTCCAGGTCTGGGATACTACAACTGGGTGAAGCCTTCATTCCCTTGTCAGGAGTCTGCCCCTGGAAAGCTGGTCTACCCTCTGGGTAATGCAACCAGAGCCATAAGCTGCTGAGAGACAAGAGATTCCGATTGCACCAATGTAGCAATGTGTAGGTCAGAGGAGTGTTGTCCTCTGTAGCGTACCAAAAGGCCGAGTACTTCATCAAAATGACCAGAAGTTAACTTTTGACTTGCAGGCACAAACTGCGTCACACGTCCTGACACATCTTAACTGTACTGGTCTCCAAACCAGTAAGCACACTGCTCTACGACCTTGTTGCCAGGAAGGGAAAACATAATAAACCCTTCTCTTGAATTTTTTTATCTTTGCTGAAATCAAACGGGCAGAAGACGAGACCTCCACTCTCTGAATAATCATAAATGACTTTACAACTTTATAGACTGATATAATCAAATGCGTTGAATGAACAAGATGTTTAAATCCAAAGTGTTTTAATTATGTGTACATTAATCAATGATGGGTTAAAATTAATATTTTTCCTGCAATGATTCATTTCAGGTCTTAAATGACCAGATTAATATTGTTGATTTAATCGTTTAATTTCAGTATATTCACACCTCATAATCATTGTTGAATTAATGGTTCAACATTCACTGCAAGTAAATGTGTAATAACATTTAGACTTCACACTAAGAATTAACCCCTAAGTATCTGAGTGAAGGCGTGATTCTCTGAGGTCTTTGGTAACGCCTTTAAAACTTGTCAAATTCTGATTTGTCTAAAAAATTTTAATAAACAAAAGTTGATAAATACAGGAATCACTTCCTGATTCCTCAGTTCTCCAGCTGCCTCCTGGTTCTGCCAACCGGCGATCACGCTTTTGGAACCATCCTCTCTCTTGACCCAAAGGTCAAATCATTGCTCTGCAATGCTTGCGAGTGATACCAAACAACAGCTCTTTTAAGAGCCACCCACCACCTCAGACATGGAGCGTCTAACCTGCAGACCCTGGTTGCAGCTCACGGCCAGACTAGAAATCTGAATTCAAAGGGAACTGCGACTCTTTGGGATTCCTGTAGCCACGACGTCTGGTAAATCACCACTTGCTTTTTGTCCGGACCGCGGAGAGTGACAGTCACACAAAGGGTATCGTAGACTCTGCACGATTGTGTCAGATTGTTTTAGGCATAACCTCTAGTTTATCAAACCATACGGCCAAACTGGTTTTACAGCCCAGACATCACAAGCCCTCTCAGACACTTACAAGGATCTGCTAAAATGCCTAGCTTACAAAACATCATTTCATCCATATTTTGTCATGAATAATCACTTAGTTTAAGAAAAACTGAATTAAATTCATTTTTAATACTATATCCTTGACTCTGTCTGAATTAATATGAAGTGTGTGTTCCCTGAATACACAGAACCTAGAGTAATCTAAATCAAACATTCAAAGACCAATCAGATTCATATTTATATGGAATATCACATCTTATTGATCACTTAACAAACACTGTAGCTAATCCTCACCGCTACACCTCCCTGTCTGTTTCTTGACTGAAAGGGAACAACAACACTCCCTCTAATGTCGGACACACTTTAACCGTAGTAAGTGTAATGCGTCACACTACTTTTTCAATTACCAACAATTTTATATTGTAGTGAAATGTATTTATCTACTAATCACCTTACTTTTGTTTTCTGTAGTTCTTCGTTGTACACAGTGTGGTGAGGGTTTGTTTTTACCTTTGCCGACAGATTTCGACATCTGTTCAGCTCACAATGGACTGCAGTACCCACATTTGATCACAGGATGTCAGTCTTACACTGAAAAAAAAGATCTGTTGGATTTACGTAATTAAATCATGTACATCGGTTGCATGAAATTAGATTATGTTTTGATTTTATAACTTCTTTATGTAATGCCAACATTATTATGAATGAAAGTATACTTTCATTCATTCTTACATCATGCGCCTTTAAATCTATACGATTTTAGTTTTTAATTCAAGAACCATACCTATTCAATGTAAATATATTGTGTTCGACGCTGAAGTCTGAATCACTTGTGATACAGTAAAAACGGCTGTCACCTAGCAGTCGGAGTCTAAATTGCACCACATAAAAATACAGTCAGTTGTTTGCATGTAAATTCTTAGTAAAAAAAATCAATACTTTTCTATTAAACATTGATTCAGTATCAAAACACAAAAATTGCGATATTTCAGTGTATCAATATTTCCTTACACCCCTAATGCTTACCGTTTGGGTTAACACAGTTTAACCTTTTCATGCTTCAAATGAGGAACTCAGACGTCGTCATATTGGGAAAGCGGTGGCTTGTGGGACCTCCACTGGATTGTCAGATCGCAGCTCGATCTGTCCTTCAAAGTGAAGCAGTATGTATATCACCCAAAAGGCAACACTCTAACGACCAGAAGAGGTTTTAGGTTCAATCACCACCTCCAGCATTGCAGACAGACGAGATGAAGAGTGAAATCACTTGTTAATGATCCAGTCATTGCACAAGACTTCTGTGTGTACAGGGAATGTAACCTCTAAACATTGGCTTTACTTTCAGTTGACATTTCAGTCAATGAAGAATTTAAACTTATGTTTTGATCACTAAAGAAGATTTCTATCAGGTACATCTCTACCTCCAAAATACTCCTGAATGTTCTTGGTTAAGATAGGAAATACAAATATTAAAGGCGTTTGGCACAACTTTATTTAAACTGCAGCCACCACAAACGTGAATACCTTCATAAAAAAGTGGTTCTAATGAAACAAGTAACCATCATCAGAAGGATGATTGGCCAATGGGAACTTTAACTGATTATGTTGTTTAGATTCATCACTCACAGTTGCTCATGTCAGTCTGTCTGTGTGTGTGTGCGTGTGCGCGCGTGCGTGCGTGCGTGCACAACATGCCAGGGCCTGATAAGGACTGTCCATCACTTCTGTTCAGCTCACACCTGTCTGTCTAAACAGGAAAGGGCTCTACAGATAGATAGCAATGGTAGAGTTTTCATCCACACAAATAAATCAAGTGTTTGACAGGTTATGGACACGGTGCAGTTTTAAACTACTTTTGCTTTTGTTCTCACATGCCAGAGATTTCAAAAGTTACCGGACATCTCCTGTCTTTATCTGTCTCATTTTAGACTGAGAAAATTTTCATATTTATGTCGCTGCCATTGTGGAATATGATTTCTTCTACCAAACTAAACTTTTGTCCCTCATTTTTATGTAAATGTGCTGCCTCAATATGCACACACCGACAGTGAGGAAAACCCACAAGCAGAGAAATCTGCATGATCTGTTCATTTGAACTGAAAAGTGTGTTGCTAGTACAATCTTGTTGGGTGAAAACACACTCCGTGCCTGCGTTACTCCTCTCCTCCATTCCCATAACCCTAAGCTATTGAGGCCATTGTGGTGTTGTTGAGGATTCACATCATTGTTTGTCTCCCCCTGGCTCTTGTGATCCCCTATAAGAACACCGAGCCCTTTGATTGGACTGCCTGACGTCCGGAGGAGATTTACTCTTGTCATGTATTGATCAGGACCTGAGGGCTGCTTGTGTGTGTCAGTGTGTGTGTGTGTGTATGTGTGTGTGTGGATATCTCTGTGTCTTTATGAGCCTTTTTATTTTATTTTTTTTGTTCTTTGTGCCTCGATGTGCTGTGTGTATATATTTGTGTGCTGAGAATTTTTTTATTGTGTGCCAGCAAACCCTTTTGGCCCCTGCACACGCCCCAGGCTGTAGGCACTGGTCTTGAACTGTTAAACAGTGGCCCCGCTATTGTGACTGTTTCACACAGTACACATACACACTTGGATTATTCTCTCTTAGTTGGTCATCTCTGCTGAAAGCACACTGGATGGTTCTGGTAAAATAACATCTTGTTTGTTAACGATTAGCAGCATGTTTTACACATGAGAGGCACTTTTACTGGTGAGGAGGTACCAAGCAGCCATGTCTTTGTATCTGTGTCTGGATTATTCAACAAAAGAAAAATTTTTCTTTAGCTTTGTGGCTTATATTTGTTGTGTGTGTGTGTGTGTGTGTGTGTGTGTGCGTGCGTGCGTGCGTGCGTGTGTGTGCGCGTGAGCGTGTGTCTCGGAGCACGCATTTGCAAATTATTTTACAAGTTCTTGGCGAACACCTGTTAAGTTTCCAATGCTTGGGTTGTTAGGGCAGATTTGATTTTAATTTTGAATGTTTTGGTGCAAGTTACCATCGGAGGTGATGAAAGTGCTGATCACAACAGGAGCGCAGACAGGGAGACGCAACGCTCATTTAAATATGGACCAGAGCGACTGCTTTGAACACTTTTCCTGCAGCAGGTTTCACTGAGGTGGGGGATAAGACAGAAGAGTGGTAGAGAGAAGAATAACACTGATTGTGTGGTGTATTTACATGCTGTTTACCAAGATCTCTCCCGTTAGTTACCTCTAAACAAACACCTAAATAGAAAACATGCATAGTGTGACCACACTAATATCTCTGTCAGTCAACATGTTTCAATTTTAGTTCACTAAAATAACCCTGCATTGATGCTTGTTTTTTATATTTCATTTCAGCTAGCTCTGTGTGTGTGTGTGTGTGTGTGTGTGTGTGTGTGTGTGTGTGTGTGTGTGTGTGTGTGTGTGTGTGTGTGTGTGTGTGTGTGTGTGTGTGTGTGTGTGTGTGTGTGTGTGTGTGTGTGTGTGTGTGCGTGCGTGTGTGCATGCATGCGTGCGTGCGTGCGTGCGTGTGTGTTTTTGTACATACTGAGGACCATTTGGACCACTTCCCTACATTTTTTTGATCCTCGCTTTTTTTAGAAGCTTACCAGAAGCTTACTATACCAGTAAGAGGGATGGTGTGAATCAAGTTTTAGTTAAAGTTAGGGTTAGGAATAGATCAGCATTGGTCATGGTTAGGGTATGGGTATGGGTTAGGCATAGTGGAATGACAAAAATGAAAGAAAGTAAATGGAGGATCCTCACTACGATTCTCAGAAGTGCAAATGTGTGTGGTGTGCTTATAATATATATTTCTTATATTTAGAAGTGTACATTGGAGGAATCTGGTGATACAATTTATGTCTCAACCAGTGGCGGCTCGTCCATAGGGGACGCTAGGGCGCCGCCCCACCATTCAGATAGGAAGAAGATAAAAGGAATCACAAAATATATTTAAAAAAAATACATGAAAATTTTACTAATCATACGAACTATGAGTGCTGCTTTTAAGTGTAGTTTAAAATGTTCTTACACACTTGTAACATAAGAACCACAGTCCAAATCATCTTGAGATGAATTTCCTGTTCCTTTCAGGAGCAGCAATATTCACCATAGACCTGCAATAAATGGTGCCCCCTCCAATACAAAGGACAGGAGAGCCTTTTAGCTCATTTCCATCTACCGTTTTGGCATGGAATGTGAAGGATTGGATCGCTTATTTTTCTATTTCGATTGTAAAACCAGTCCAGGCCACCTACCCAGACCGCGCCAGTCATACCAAATTCAGAAATTTCTGAAGTGGTATGGTTAGGGCGGAGCAACAACTCAGTCCACTGATTGGTTGACATTGAGTTCCGTTGTTAGTATTTTCATTAGCTGTACATGAATGTGAAAAAATGCTAGCAAGTAGCAGCAAGTTTTGGTCATTGTCAGAGCTCCATTTTTCTGAGCGGATAACTTTTGCTGGAAGAGTAATGGTACTTATATTGTTCTAAAGAGAAGAGTCTGGGCTTTAATTTAAATGGCTGCTTCTGTGGATAGGACTGTATTGCATTGTTGCTATTGTTTTTTTTCTCAATATTTGTATTTAGCTTTTTTAGCCTTTGTCATTGGACTTTCTGTTGATGTAAAAAAGATGTGGGTCCTATCATTAAATTGGTAATTTGGCTCCCCCTAGTGGTGATATGTAGTTAACTCACCTAACATCTAACAGCATAAATGGGCCTCACGCATCCATCCATTTTCATTTGCTTATCTGGAGTCGGGTCGCGGGGCAGTAGCCTAAGGCGAGAGGCCCAGACTTCCCTCTCCCCAGCCACTTGGGCCAACTCCTCCGAGGGAATCCCAAGGCGTTCCCTGGCCAGGTGAGAGACAGTCCCTCCAACATGTCCTGGGTCTATCTTTAGGCCTCCTCCCGGTTGGACGTGCCCGGAAAACCTCACCAGGGAGGCGTCCAGGAGGCATCCTGACCAGGTGCCCCAGCCACCTCAACTGGCTCCTCTCGATGTGGAGGAGCAGCGGGTCTACTCTGAGCCCCTCCCGAATGACCGAGCTTCTCACCCTATCTCTTAAGGGAGAGCCCAGCCACTCTTCGGAGAAAACTCATTTTGGCCGCTTGTATCCACGATCTCGTTCTTTTGGTCACTACCCAAAGCTCATGACCATAGGTGAGGGTAGGAACGTAGATCGACCGGTAAATCGAGAGCTTCGCCTTCTGACTCAGCTCTCTCTTCACCACGACAGACAACTTACAACACCTGCATCACTGCAGATGCAGCACCAATCCGTCTATCGATCTCACGCTCCAGTTTTCCCTCACTCGTGAACAAGACCCAGAGATACTTAAACTCCTCCACTTGGGGCAGGACCTCATCCCTGACCCGGAGAAGGCATTCTACCTTTTTCCGAATCAAGACCATGGTCTCCGATTTAGAGGAGCTGATTCTCATCCCAGCTGCTTCACACTCGACTGCGAACCGCTCCAGCGAAAGCTGAAGATCACGTTCTGATGAAGTCAGCAGGACCACATCATCTGCAAAAAGCAGAGTCCTGATCCTCAGGCCTCACCAAAAATAAAAATAAAATAAAATCACCAGCCGCCACTGGTCTCAACACAAGAAAGAGGATATGATATATTGTGATACTAAAAATCAGACAATATTTGGTATTTTTTTCAACTGACCTTAATTGAAAACACATTCGGTTTTGTCACGAGATCTTGTTGTTCAGAAGAAGAGTGGTATAAACTGCTGCCACCTAGCAGTTAGACTCTGATTTGCACCACACACAAAAAATAAAGTACATTTTTGCATGTTATTCCTCAATTGGGGGGGCATAATTTCTTTTGTCTCGCCTTTCTTCATCTGACAATCCACCCAAGGTCAGCTTTTCAGGAGGCTTGCAAGGGAATGATGCAGAAGATTATTGCTTCGATCAATAAGCTCAAAATGAAGCAAAGGGGAGTTACTTTATTGGCTTTCTCGTGTACAGTGGCAGTTTTAACATTTAATTGTCTGTCTGTATTTAGAGCATACTCCCATTTAGTGCCTGACAACTGTGCCTTCCCGGGTCTGCCTTTTTCTTGCTTGCCATCCACTCGGGCACTATTTGAGACAGCCCCTCTTAGCTTAATTATTAATGGTGTTATGCTGCCCTGTTGTACTGTGAGACATTCAGAAAGCAAATAAATAAATGAATGGCTGTTTTTTATTAGCTCTCTGTATCTCTCTCTCTCTCTCTCTCTCTCTCTCTCTCTCTCTCTCTCTCTCTCTGATGTGTGATTTTCTGTCTGCAGAGAATTTAGCTAAACTTGGGGTGTGTTTAATATCAAAGCCGTGTTCCCTCAGCTTTCAATCGACAGGGCAACAAACCCTCAAGTCCACACTCCTACAGGGGAGTGTGAGGCAAAACCGAGGAGAATCTGAGTGTGTCAAACTCAATATTCCTCCATAATGTACTAGGCCTCTCTGGTGCATGCTTGATCAATTTCATTTATTTATCTGGCAGGCAGCGCTATCCCTCTTGTTTTTCTATATCCATTTCATCATCCTCCTCTTCTTCTTTTTATTCCCTCTCCCCTCTCTCTTTTCAGACACTAGCCAGTGAAATACTTTTAGACGTTCAAGAGGTCAAGCAGCAGTTGATGAGCAGGAGGAGGTCGAGGCAGGCCAGTTCTATGGCAGCAAAAACTGGCCTCTCAGTCAAGTCCATGATCAAAGCAAAGTCCATCGCTGCCTCCATCCTCAATATGTCAGAGAATGATCTCACAGACATAATGGAAACAGATCAGGTAAGGCCGAGGGACACTAGGTCAACATTTCGTACTGCACAAATACTAACTTGAAGTTCTATATCTTGTTTAGATTATCCACAGGGTATTCGTACTATGTGAAAGATTTTCTGTGCTATAAAATTTTGAAGCATTCTAAAAGTCTTTGATAAATGATTGCATCTTGGGTTGGGAAAGACATTACAACATCAATACCAACTCATAGGTTTGGGTATCCTCTGTGTAAATTATAACCAAATCATTGGCAAGAAGCTGTCTTACCCTGACCTAAGAGATACCCTACACTGGTGTTAAAGAGGAGAGTAACGAGAAATGGAAGCTGTCAGTCTGTAGTTCACTTCACCTGTATCTAACAGTGTTTTAGCCTTTGGTCTGACCTTTTATTAACGTGCAAAAATAAGCATAGTTTGTTGAAGATATACTGCACACCAGTCAATGTCAAGAGTTTAGATGTTAAACTAATGTAGAGAAAATGTGGCTCCTTGTTTAAAGTCAATGTTCTCAAATATAGACTCAAAGAAGAAACTTGTCAACTTTACCAGATTTTTCTTTTTTTTATGTGGCACAAGTTGGGTAAGTACAACTTTTTCCTTTCAGGAAAACAGTCATCGGACTGAAATTCCTGGTATTGATTGTTGTCTACTTGCAAAAGTGTTTCAAACTCTTTTCTAACTTGATGGGCCTTCTGTCGACCATAGATCATTCCCAACTGTGTCATCAATTAGCAACCATGTTACAATCAGCCTCACATCCCTGGGGACATCCTCTCATCTATCACTAGATGAGAGAGGGCGCACTAGGCACTTACTCACACTTGAAACCAATTTTAAGCCTCTGCTGTACAGCTCCACCCAGTAGACGACCACAAACAGTTTCTCTTGACGAAAAGTCTCTCTCATTGGTCTTGAAAACTCAGAGTAGAGTAACACGTATCCTCTCACTAATTAAGTCCTTTGTCATAATTTGGAGCCAATTGGCGCTTTAACGCAAGTTTTTTATTTGTTTATTTTTTCAGCCATTGCATCATTGGGGAATTTTACATTACGTTGTGTGAATTCAGGTGGAGCTGAGAACTAATTTGATGGTTATGGGTAGAAATAAGGGAATTAATTAATTATTCCAACAATGCACTTACATTGTGAGAATCTTATGGGGTGGTGTTCCTTTCCTAGGTCATCATATGCAGTTTTTAATTAAACATCATCGTTTTCTACCTTAACTGAATTTGAGCTTTAGAAACTTTGGAAATCAATAGGAAATTCCTCTGCGTACCAAACAGGAGTAGGTACTTGTCGCATATTCTTTTAAACTATTATTGTCTTCTATCCAAACTATGTGAAAACAGTTTAGATTTATTAGTTAGAGCAGTGGTACCCTACCTGAGGTCCCCCCCCACGCAAACACACACACACAATTGTGTCAGTGCTGAGGTTGAGAGGTTACCAAGATTATATTTGTAAAAATTACCTTTATAAAATCCCAACATTACACCCAATAGTATAATCAAAGCTCTGTATAACACCTATAACTCCGTATGTCTGTATAGTCTTCAGATAATTACTTTTACTGTGTGGATGCAGGAAGAAGTTGTAGTTGAGTTTCCTGGCTTATCTTGAGCCTCCTTTAGAAAACAATTCTGCCAATCAGCCACGACGCTGAGCTGGCATCAGGGACACTTAGGTTGTTTATAATTGGTCGGACTGTGGCGGTTATGTTGCCCAATCATGTCGTTTTTACAAAAGATAGTGCAAGGGTGAAATAAAGGGATTATGGGGGCGATTCCTGCACTGCCGCGGACTTCCGTTTATCTTGGACATAACTTGAATTGTATTGCAATCAAAGCCACACTCATTAAGTTTTTTGACAAGCCACTTCTAAATGTGTCTATCACTCTCAGTCCCCATGCAGTCTGGTGAGCTCAGCTCCAGCTCTAATGAAGAGAAGCTCATGGAGCTCTGCATCGCTCCAGTTTATCATCTCCGCTGGTTCTGTTTACAAAAACTAAACTTGCTGCCCGTGTTTACTTTCATTTTCGATATAGTTGCCGTCAAGACCTCGACAGTAACTCCCCACGTGATCATGACACCTCCCTCTGTTGTACCAAGGCGTGCTAGCATTCACAAGTCCGGCATAGCGACATTATTAATACCAACCACGACTGATTTGCTGATTTTCTGGCATGATGTTTCTTCTAAAATGGGCTTTGTTCAAAGGCAAGGGGGTCGTCAAGGAAAAAACGGGTAGGAACCAGAGATATAGTGTATGTTTTACATTAAAAAGGAAGGATTTCTCATATCTCTTCAGTCAAGAAAAGTAACAATCTTTTGTAAAGTGCTTGTGATTTTCTAAGAAAGATTATTGGGTTTTCAGTGTCCCTAACAATCTTGAATAGGTCTAAAGTACCACAGATGGAATAATTTCCTCACTAAGTTGTTCTGTTTGCTCTGTGACGTAAGGTCCAGAGTTGACCCTACTTGTGCTTTTCCACATTTAAGTCCTCATAAGCAGAATATTCTTCAAACAGGCAGAGCTTTACAATCAACATTTGTCAAACTTCTGAACACCTGAGGGCACTGGTACATGGTTTTAAATAACTGATTTTCTTAGGTTAAAGACTTGTTGGGAGTTTTAATTATTCCTGGTGGATGTTATGTTTTTTGAATAAGTTAATTACCTCAGAAATGTTTTTCAAACACTACATGTTTTCTTTCCTTCTGAGCATTAGTCTTAGTTTGCTCCTGAACGTAACAGATCTTTTCAAAGAATTCATTGACCAGTATAGCAACAGTGACGGGACCTAGTTGTGCAACTTATTGAGCCATTTTTGGCTATTCTTAGTTCAGAATGCAAATGAAAGCATTAGAGACTTTGTTTGATTTAGCCTTTTTATTGAACAAGATTCATAGTTTTTGAGTGTCAAAGAATGTGTGTGCAGAAGGAAAAACACCTACATCACTTATCTATTCACCAATATTATGCTGGATTTTTTTGTAATTTGCCTTTATTCATTCCATAGTGTGCAGCAGAGCACAGACCTGAGCAGCTCCAGCCTCCCACTGTAACTTGTTGTGGAGTTAATGATCCAGATGTAATTAGGCTGTAATTGCTGGACCAGTTTGTTTTGCACTCTAGTGTTTGATGAAGGGTCCGTTATTTCTTATATATCTACCAAGGGTGGGCAAGCACACTCGGGTTTACACACACCGTCTTCTACCGACCGTGTTAGCTTTTGAGAGATTTGAGTACAGCAGTCGCAGAACAATAGCTCTAACTTTTTAACTGTGTTTCCAGTCAAACCTTTCTCAATTCAAAACATATTAAGGAAATCAGTGCTGGTGTTTTTGCAAAGATGACCCAAAACAGCTTTAACTTGAGATTTTTGGTTGAACAACCATGAGCAGATTTATCTTTCCAGGCTTCAAGCTGTTCATTTGTGGTTGAAATGCTAATACCTAAGCAAGTAAAATCCTACTGGAGCTAGAAAAAGGTGTCTGTAGGTTTGTCAACCATCAGAACTGATTTCTCTTGTAGTGATTTTTGATCAGGTTGGAATGCTGATGATAGACGTTGATGTGTAAAAGTTTTAACCAGTTAATCCAGTTGCCTGCTGTTTTCCTAACTGTTTCTATAACAGATTTCCTGTGTTTCTGCTTAACAAATTACTTACCTAATCAGATTTAGAAAAGGTAAAAATAGACATTATACCAATTGGAAAATTCTATCTGGAGACACAAATGTCTAAAGATTTTTATGAGAACTATCCTCACTTTTTATTTCCTAAAACGCCTCATAGCAAATTTAGTGTATCAAGTAGTTTTCTACAGTGACATGACATCAATGTGCTTTCACTCAAAGTAATCAGGTTCATAATTCTCAACATGTCTTCAAGCATGATAATACTTAGTGATGGCCAACCGTGATTTCTGCAGTCAGATACATTGCTCACTCAATTTGATTTTCAAAAACTAAAGATGACAGCTTTCACTTGTACAAATGTTGTTACAAACCAGTTAGTGACTATGATTGCAACATCTTTATTTTTTAGATTAAGTCAAAAGCCTGGTTCTTTCATCAAGATAGAATCTGTGCTGGAATAAAGTGGACAATAAGTTAGAATCTATTTAGTGCAAATGTTATTTATGTTAGACCTTTCTCTTTCTCTGCAATGTTTGGTTCTCTTTTAAAGAGCAAGTCATCCCCTGCCAGATTCTTACTCAACTCCCACTTCCTGTTTGAAAAATGCAACAAATGCTGTTGCTTAGCAGACCGATAGGGCGGAGCCGCTAACAAATACACACACTCACAGCATTGTGACATCATAATGTACCATCCAACATCATAGTGTACCTCTTAGCGAATAGTGATGGTAGATTTTAATTCAAATGCAGTGCTGAGTTTTTGCCTGACGACGGTGCATCGCTGACAGTTTTAGGCAGAATATTTAAATTTTAACTAAGATGCACTAAAGTGCCGAGTTATTGACTACATTTGTCTACAGCACAATCAGACACTCATTTATATAGTTTATCAGCAAAAAAAATGTTGATTTGGCATGACTTGCTCTTTAAACTGTCTCTGCACGCAACTGGACAGCGTTAGAACCAATCAGAGTAATGGGCAACATGTCGTATTCATTCATTGCTACGGAAATCAGTCAACGGGGCAATCCACCATACACATTTAAAGAAGAAGAAGCAAATAAGTCCTTTTTCTAAATAAAGGACTTGGGTACCTCTATCTGCTCATGTCTGGAAGAAAAGCCCAAGTCTAAATAGTCTAAAAGTTGATGTCAAAGCCGTTTCAAACCAGCGCCATTTCTGACACTATAAAATTTTTGTAGTTTTTCTCCACCACAGCTCTGGCGCTAAGCTCGCCTAACAAACATAGAGCGCTGTGATTGGCTTGACACAAAACTGCTCAGCCCAAAGGCAGACCTGGTCAGCATGGCTAGACCAAACTGCAGAGGCAAATCTTTTGCTATTGCTTTGGGTCTTGTATTGATGAAAATGTCCGGTTTGTCATCCGGGAGCATTATGGGGAGCTGGATATCCTACGCATCCAAGGGAGCCGGAAAAAAGTTTTCTACTGTTGAGGGTCTGCCCGCATGAGAAAATTACTATGCAGTAATTTCTCCAAAAGACTGTGCCAAAAACGCCCTGGAGCGTGAATAAAAAGGCATATTAAAAATCAGCGCCAGCAACAACTTCATTTCCCATGATTCCCTGCAGCCGGAAGCAATGTGATGACGTCACCAAAGTGACGCTGAACCCCGGAACCTCCACACGTCCCGCCCGCTGGCTGGAGAATCTAAAGCCCAGCGCAGAACGAAACTTAACTCTCTTTTGTTCCAGTTCAACTGGTGTGAAGAGGAACTTGTTTGCTACCGCACCGGACAGCGTGCGGAGGCCAGACGGCTGGAAAGCAACGGAAAACCATCAAATCTGCTCAACGCGAACAAAAAGGGACGCCTTCGGTTCACTCATGCAAGATTTTCCTTTTTTTTTTCTCTTTCACTTTCTCTCCCGACTCTAATATAGTCCAGAACAAGCGATCAAACTGCGTGATTGCTTCAAAGTATAAGACGGTCTCTCCTTCGTACCAAAATACGCCCATCGGACCATCTTAAAAGTAAGCTGTTTTGTTTGTCATTGTTTAATATCTAAGTTTTGCGCTGTGGCCAGACTGACAAACTATTAGATATTTTCATTTGCCTTTGATTGATCTTTTATTTTGTTTATTGATCTTTGTGAAGCGGTTTGAAGTGTTTTGTTAAGTTACTGTGCATGAAATCTTGCCACATCACTGCTGAAAGTTAAGCCACTGACTGTGTTTGAGAAAACTTGCACACACACACCCACACACACACGCATTCCACAAGTGGTTTGATCCCAGGAGCCAGACAAAGGAATCAGCCATTTTGGGTTTTCTAAACCCCTCCATCTTGGGGTTACACCACCTCAGATTATTTCACATTATCATCTCATTGTTTAATCACTTGTTATTCGTTTGATAAAATAAGTTGGTGGATATTGATTGGCTAAACACTTTGGGAGAAGCCGAAGTGGGTATATTAGTTAATAAATGTTATTGCCAATTAAGCAGTTGTCTCAAGTGAATTTGTCTGTGTTGGATGAAATAGGACTGCTGCTCGTAAACGAATTTACGAACCTTAGACAGATTAATAAGAGGGTTTGGATTCATTCCCCCTATAAAAGGGGGTGGTGCCCCGAGGATATCCTAATATCCTAATTACGTAATAAATAGGTAAATATTTCCATATTTACGAATTTATTGATGAATCCAAAAAAGTAAGTAAAGCTTACAAATTATTCATTGACTAATAATCACAACACTACCTATATTACATCATTCATGGACTCTTTTGAGCAGAGAGCAGCAGAGCGATGATTGTTGGTGCGCAGCGCCCCAGGCTGCTGCTTCCAGCGCACGGTCCATTCTCAAAGTGGCACAACCAAAGAACTTTAATTAACACACCATCGTTCATGTCCACACATGTTCTCTACTTTCTGTCTTATTTGTGCCTGAAGCGCTCTGCTACTGCGGAGCTCATCACCTGTGCTGCGGTGATTTCACCTCACTGACGCAGCATCGAAACGCGCTCTCCGCTTTGCAGTCAGGAGATCTGTTGAAGTGAAAATCCATGCAGCAGTTTTTCTGGAGAGTTTAGAGGAGATGCAGGAAGATGAGAGACAGACAGGACAGGAAAACAGTTAAATAAAAACAAGAAAACAAAACAAAAGTATTGAAAGTAAAATGTAGGTAGATTTATCTCCACTACATGTTTTTACCTGTATAAAACAATAAGTTATACGCATGTCATATTTATACATCTGATACAATTCAGATCAACTTCAAAACTCAGTCACACACCCAGGGTCGTTTCAAGGCATTGTGGGGGCCAAGGCAAAACAGAAACCCCCCCATAGCTGGGCTCCCCAGAAGCCTCTGTGTAATTCATACCCTGTCCAGTAGTATTAGTTATACAGTGTTTGTAAAAGCCCCTCAGACATCACTGACATGTTCTAATATTATCAGATAAGAAACTAAATTATCAGACATGATGTCTCATCTGCTGCTTTTCTAAACTTGCAAAAAGTAACAAAACCATTTAAAAGCCACTATTTGTGGATTCTCTGAAAGTTTCCATGGAGTCTGTAACAACTTATTTTCTCATTGATCCTATCGTCTAATCTCACAGCTGAAACAAGCATCCTTAATAATCCGTGCACAGGAAGCTTACCAATGCTGTAGTAAAACAAAAGGTATAATAATTTATTATTAATAAAACCTTGTTGCAGCACTAAAGCAGAAAATGACATTTTGCAATAAATATGCAAAATATTTACATATGAATTATTTTAGAGCCCTTTTATTGGCAGAATCTGATATTAATTTAGTTCTTTCAAAAAAATGGGTCCTAGCGTGGTTTGTGTGGCGTTGCCATAGTGTGACGTCATAGGCACAGATCCCCAGTCCTCTTTTTTGGAAATATGATCACCCTATATTAAACAAACTGTCCACCCGGGCTTTTGCGCTGCACAGACGCTTCGCTGCCTACGACTTTGAACGTCAGTTGAGAGCGGTTGAGTGTCAGTCTCATGCAGACTGACCAATGAAGAGAGGGCCTCAAGTTAAGACCCTCTCCTCATTGGTCAGTCCACACGAAGTAGGTCAAAGGTTACCCTGAGCGGATTGCGTGATGTCAGGCATTCAGGTATTGAGTATATTTACTGCATATTAGAGTAAAATATTCTGTGTGTGACCATGTTATGGTGATCCTTGGGTCATGATGATGGGGCCCTTTAATATTGTTGCCCAGGGTACAACAAAGTGTTAATCTGGCCCTGTTTCCAGGTAAAGATCATCAGTGTGTAATGTCCAGAATTATTTAAATTCAATCAAACACACACAAACTATTATGTGTATTTTGTTCCTGTGAGAAACTAAAATTAAAGAGTTGATAAATTAGTGCTGATGTGTAAAAGGACACGCAGTTCTTGTTCATTAAAGGTAATAAGGCCCACTCTCTTACGGTTTTCATACATGAGTAGTATGCAGATAACTGAGAACCTTCACCAACATATCCAGATGTATAGTGGTGTACACCACCACTGGTCTATGGAGAGCTTCTTCAAGGTCCTGGCTGCTGGAATGCTGCATTAGTGTCCTAAAGCTTTAGACTTTCAAAGACCTATGTATGATTCCTTGTTACTCCTCAAGCCATCCAAACACTAAGCTGACACTGCCGTGTTTGGTTGAAGATGTTCATTTTAACTTTTTAACGATTCTCTGTCATTTTGTGTATTTTCCTGTCTGCTCGCTGAAAAGTGATGTTTTTGTTTACTGATGCTTTTTTTCCTCAGACTACAGTTGCTTGCATGGAGAGTCTCAGGGACAAGGAGTGGTTGGACCACCTGAACCTCATGTTGCAGCAGAAGGTCAGAGTCACATGCACCTGCAGTAGCAATAATAATAATAACAAACATGTGTTCCACTTATTTGAAGAGGAAGTTCTTCTATAGTGGAACAAGCCAACTGCAGGTTTCTGAACTGATTTAGATTTATAATTTTAATTAAAACTTTCACACTTGATTTCTATAAAAATGGTCGCTAAGAGCATACAAAGCACTGGGACTCTAAAAACTACTTCAAATTTAGCAGATGATGATGATGATGGGGATTTTACAGTAAACCAGATACGGGGTCAATCGTTTTTGTATTCTTTTCACTAATGCTACTATGAATATTTTAGTAAAACAAAAGTGCAGCACATATTAAACCTTAAGTCTAAAACAAATGTCAATTGTATTCTGTATAATTTTGGGATTTTTTTAATTCTAAATATTGTTCAAACTATTTTATTGTAACTACGTGCATGACATATTAAAGGGGCATTATGGAAGTTTGACAGCCAAAACATGTATAGAAATAATACATTTCTTAATACATTCTCCTGCAATGCCGTGGTCCTGTAGAATGAGCCCTGGCATTTTTACTGTGATTGCCTGCTTTTTTGTAAAATCACAGAAAAAGAGAGCTGCTTGGGTCGAGCAGGCTGCTTCATGCTCGTTCACGCTCAGGCATAGCCCTCCAAACCGTTCTTTGAACGTTGTTGCAGCTGTCATGAAGGATATAAATGTTACAGATAAAAAGTATGTTACTGGTGCTTTAGCTCGCCTAGTAAGGTGTCGGACCTTTGTGCAGAAGACCCGGGTTCGATTCTGGATGTGAACATAGTTTATTTAGAGTTTATGTTTTACATTAATGGTATATTTTTTACAGTAAGATGCCCAAATTTTTATTTGAGACTCGCCGAACGGCATTGAATTCACAGATAAAAAAGATGGGGGTTCAACTTTCATTTTGGAACAATTTTAAAAGCAAGGGAAGGGAGTGATCTGAGCATGCAGGAGGACTGACCCATCATAAACCTTTGTCAGCTGTGCTGAAGAGAAAGGTACAGAACCAAATTATTTAATTAGCTGCACGTTCTCCTGTCCTCTGTTCTCTGGGCCACACACACACACACACACTGGACTGTCTCAGCTGTTATTTTCGTTAAGGAGTGTGCACGTACAGCATGCGCGCCTCGTGCACGAGCCTACTATTGAAGCTGCCGTTACGCTTTTGGCCTGAGGGGGCAATCGCGAGCATAAAAATTCAAAACGCTGTAAAGTCCCTTTAATAATTGTAACTATTAGATCATGAAGCTGAAAATCAGACAAATCAGGTCACCTGCCAATAGTTGGTGCATCCTCACAACTAATATTTTCAGATTTCTACTGTTAGTATAAGTGACTGACCAAAAAATGGACCCCATTCTCAGGAAAAACACCTAAACATATGCAACACCTTCAAGCAAAACTAGCTTTAATGATCAGTAATTGATTTGAGTATTCTAAATTATGCAAAAACATTTACATCTTTTATGTTCTATGTTTTATTTATTTATTTTTTTCAGTGGAATTTCTATTTTATTACTTTAAATATAAATCACCTAATGCTTTCATTGGACAGGCCAATCCGTGTGGCAGAGCTGTTGTGGTTTTTAGTCAAAAACAATAACGTTTTTATGTTTATCAAAAATTCCCCTTCATAGTCATGTCTCAGTGAAGCAGCCTTTACATATAAATATCAATTATTTTCAGGCTTTAAGGTGGTAGTAGTATTTACTTTTCTAAAAATGCTAGTTCAATGTGGCAAATACGATGCTTTGTCAGTCCTGACAACAACTACAAAAAAAGTTGGGGCACCAGGATCACGCAAATACAGTAAATAGAAGATGCATTTTAGTTCGCACCCCAATGATCCTGCTTCAGGCTCAGAAACAACGAAAAACTGTGATTCAAAAGATAAAACAAAGAAAGGAGAGTACATCCTCACTGTTGGAGCCTTTGTGTGCTCACAGCCACTCATCTGTGAGTACTCCGCTGGAGCATTACTTGAGCACTGTCAACGTCTGCTCGCTGTGATACGTGTATGATTGAGAGTGTCGAGTGTGTGTGTGTGTGTGTGTGTGTGTCTAAGTGTGTGTGTCTTGTCTGTGTTCATGTCAGCAGCTGCTGCAGGCACTCATGCGTCGCCTCCGCACCACGACACACACCAGACACTGTTCTCTTGTTCCCCAGATCTTCATCTGACCTTTACACCTCTCCCCCCTCCCACTCTAACACACACATACACACACACACACTACTGAATCCATGTTTTTCCCTTCTAGCTGGACAGCTCTCAGTCCCTGCTCTGTCTCTCTGCCGTCCTCCACTGTCCCGCGTACCTCTCTTTCCCTCCCTCTCTCTCTGGCTCAGACCCCGAGGCAGCTTGTTAGTGGGGAACTAAATATTGATTTGGCGGGCCTGTCGATGCCGGGAGAATGAGCTAGTGTCCACCAGAGACCTCGGCACCGGCAGCCTGCTATCGACGTTTTCCGTGGGCAGAACAGGGGTGGTGGTGGAGGGGGGGAGGCGCTGTAGCTGGTGTGCAGAGTGGAGGAGGAGAAGAGCCGAGTATGACAAGGCTGAGACTTGCCCCCAGGTCCCTGTGGGGACCACTGGGACCACTGCAGTCATCCCCCCCATCACTGAATCAGACTTTTTCTATCCCCTTTCAAGTCCATCTTGTTCTGTTTTTTGTTTATTTATTTATCTACAGTTTCTTCTCTCTGTCTTGTTGTTTCCTTTCACTAGTTTTTAAGACTGAATCGTAATATCAAGTAGGCGCCAAGCTCTACCCTTTTCTCTCCTCTAACGTTTTTTTACATCCTTAATGCTGGGTCAAAGGCAATGCTGTTGTTAGGAGAATTTGTTTCAACTGATTCTCAGAAGGCAGCTTTTCCTCCAAAGACCTTCACACTCTACCGTTTTAGCTTCTCTGTTCCTTATGAAAGGCTCCCTGTCTGTGATGTGGAATGGCCCGGCCTGTCACCCTGCCCGTGACACTAATAACACACTTTCCTAATAGTGATATGATCATACCCCGAGCTGCACTCACACACATCATCTGATAAAAAGACACAGACAGAAATAGTCAGTGAAAGGAAAGATGAGAGATCCGTGTCCTTAACTGGCTGGCCTGTCACTGAAAGAGGATGAGGATGTGTGTGTGTGTGTGTGTGTGTGTGTGTGTGTGTGTGTGTGTGTGTGTGTGTGTGTGTGTGTGTGTGTGTGTGTGTGTGTGTGTGTGTGTGTGTGTGTGTGTGTGTGTGTGTGTGTGTGTGTGTACATAGTTGTGCACACTTGCAACAGCCTCATCTTGTCACTGTCAGTGCCTAATGGAGCTACCAGTGGGACAGCACTTTATTACCTCAGTGGCCCTGTCAATAGCAAACCCATCAATCACTGCGTGTCTTCGTGCATGTGTGTGTGTGTGTGTGTGTGTGTGTGTGTGTGTGTGTGTGTGTGTGTGTGTGTGTGTGTGTGTGTGTGAGTGTGTGTGTGTGTGTATGTGTGATGTTGTGTACTAGTTATTGTTAACAGTCACTGTCATGCCCTGCCACATGTCAACATAACAAGAATGAGAGAGTGTGTGATACTAGCAAACGGAGTGTTGTGGATGTGGAGATAAGTAACTGTGTATGAGGTGTTTTATGGCTCTCTTAATACCAAAGAAGTGCCATAGATTTCCAGACCAACCCCCCACCGCTTCCCCCACATGTCCACTCAAAATGAAATGAAACATTGCGTTCATTTGTTCCACCCTCATCTCCGCTGATGAGTTAATGAAATCAAACCCTATGCTTCTCTGGAGAGAGTCACCATGAGAAGGTCTCTATAGCTAGGATCAAGGGACATTGCTCCCTAATAATCATGAGCTGGCCAGGGGGTGCAATGTGTGGCTCCACCTCAACCTTCCATGAATAAGGCCAGCAGTGAAGATGGAGTGTCCATGTGGGCCATGGGATCCATGCACCGACCTGGGGAAGCATTGATTTAATTGCCTTTGGTTTATTTGTGGAGTCCTAATTATTGACTGGAGGTAGAATTTAATGGGCCAGGTCTTTATGAAGACAGGGAAATGACTGGCTTTTGCTGCTGGCCAATAATGAACAGGACGTGTGTGTGTGTGTGTGTGTGTGTGTGTGTGTGTGTGTGTGTGTGTGTGTGTGTGTGTGTGTGTGTGTGTGTGTGTGTGTGTGTGTGTGTGTGTGTGTGTGTGTGCGCACAATCACACACTCACACACTCCCTCCAGATGATTTTTCAGACTCATTTTGTACTCGCATACCTATCTCAAGCCTCGTGACAGCATAATAACATTTAAAAAGTCATTGACTCTGTTGATTCCTTTATGAGAGGACAGTGGTTTGTTTTACTGGTGTGGGGTGGCGCTGAGGGCCTGCTAATATTTACCTCCCAATCACACCCCAGGGAGACTTACAGGCATCACTTCTTATCAGCCTCCAAGCTATAACAAGCAGGTGGACCTTACATTAAGAGCCTGGTAGAGACAAGACGGACCGATAGAGGCGAACTTGTTATAAAACATCAAAGGCATTTATGGATGGTCTAGAGGCCTGGAATAATTCCTTTAATTTCAACCTCTTCTCAAACTTTAGGGATGGTTATTTGTTGCTCGTTTCTTTAATGAGTTTTAAACAGAAGACTGTATTCATGTCGCCTCTCGATAGTTTCTCACTGTATCAGTGCTTTCTTGGGATTTAACATGCTTTTCAGCACATCAGTGGATGTGTTCCCTCCAGTTCTAATGTGCTGAGAAACTTTTCTATTGTTGTTGCTGTGAGGGTTTGGGGTAGTGTATTGTGCTGTGTGGCTCATTATGGTGCTGTAATGACAAGGAACAGCTCTGAGTGCCGAACTTCTCTCTGAAGGAAAGTGACTAATTAAGCCTCATTTAATGACGGAGCTAATTAAATCAGCCACTCTTTTTATCTCGGTAAGTATGTTTGTATGTATGTGAGGGGGACTTGAGGCGAGTCTTTGT